TTCTTAAAAATTTAATATAAAAATAATGTAATTATATTCTTTATTTAATTCTTTAATTCATATGAGCCCAAACGAGCCGAACACAATCGAATAAAGGTATGTTTGTGTTCGACTCATCTATAAATCTAGCTCAGAATAATTGTTCGTATTTCACTCACTTGAAATGAATTGAACACGAGTTACTTGGCGAGCCGAACACAAGTTAGTTGCGAACAATGAGATTTTTTAATAGCTTTAGATGCAGGAGAGGAAAGATTATAAGGTGAGAGTGAGAGAAAGGGGGAGAGATTCTACTGCTTATGAGCGAGGGAAAGTTGATGAGCGTGTAGGAGATAAAGTTTTAGCTTGCATGGGGGTGAATTTTTAATAAAATCCTTTTTTTTTTCTTATTAAAAGAGGGGGTGGGGGTTCCCATAATGGTGTTCAAAAGAACATGTTGATTGATGCATGCGATAAATGAATTTTCACTTGAAAATGTGGAACAGCACCTGGTCATTTGCGCATTTAATGGAGCTAAATTATTTTTCATTTGAGAATCTATCTAATTCTTTTGATGACTTAGCTTATGGATTTATCATCTTGAAAATTAATATTTTGCGTGAAACAAACAATTATCATCTTTTAATGAAAGTATTAATGTTTGAAAATTAAAAATGAAAATTTTAAGCATGGCATAGTTGATTTGAATGATAGATTGAAGAAGTGTTCCATGCTTAAAGTAGAGAATACTAAACGTATGTTTGAGCTCTGAGATTTATGCTCTTTAGTTTCTTCTCGATCGATCTACTCCTATTTGTACATTTTGCATTTCTCTTATCTTGCATATGGAATGCATGTTATTTCAGTTCTTAAGAAGCATGATGAGAAAATAGTTAAATTTTTCATGCATTCCTTATCCAAGGTTCCTCGCGATAACTGTAATAAATTTAGGTATTTTTATTGCTTTTACAAGATCCATGAGTATATATAGTTTGCATCACATTTGAATTTACTTTGTCTCACTACCCAAGTTTTAAATTTGCATGATTCTAGGTAGTACTAAAATTGATGTCTTCACTTATTTGTTGTAGGTATATCTTCATGAAGCATAAAGGAAGGCAAGATTGTGCGGTTTGGATTATACAAGTTATGTTTATGTGTTTCATATAAACTTATTAGAATTGAGTGCTATGTAAGCTAATGCACTTTCTTACATGATACGCACCAATCAAGTTTTTGTGTTTGGTATATCTATAGTGTTGCATCTATATGGGGTTTAGTGTTTCATTTTCAAAGTATATACGACTCAATTTAGTACTTCAAGGCAGTAATTGTGTAAGACGCTAACCCTACTTAATGATTTTTTTATCAATTATATAGTTTATATATAGATAGTCACATTGTATGGTACTCGATGTATAATAGACTACAACCTGATATATAGATAGTCTATGGTACTCGATGTATAATAGACTACAACCTGATAGAAAATGCTAACATAAGAGTTTTTGAATGGTGTTGAGTCTTTTGTGCAAGCGACATCTCAGTTTTCACTTACCTATCTAAGGGTAAGCTTTAATGCCCTTGTGTGAAACACAAGAATCAAACACACTCAACACCAGGTGATGTCAAATATATTCTATACCATAAGGGATTTCAACAAAATTATTAGTTTTATACTTCACATGGCGAGGTTGAACCAAACATTATATGCTAAAACTGGTCCTTCAATTCAATGAGCTATGCTCCTTCAACTAGCTATAATCATCCAACTTAATATGACCCAAGTAGATTTGTTGGAATGATGTTCGATGGAACAAGAACTCATTATTTGAGTCAAGTGGAGGAAGAGCCAACAAAGAAGCTCAAATATTTTATGTACCGTTGAATGTGACACAGGCTATTTTGAAAATATTGCACATTTCATTCTGAGTTATCTATGAATTTTAAAATGTTAAAAAATCAAAATAGAGTTTTAACATATTTCGAGAATATTTTAATTAGGTTGCAAGATTACTAAAAGAAATAAATCTACATTAAAAATTTAATGTCATATGATTTTTATAGAAAAATAAGATGGTCTTTAAATTAGTTTTAAATTCAGGGAAGATAGATTGTTGTGTCAATGATTGCATGTTCTTTTTTAAAGCCAATGTAATGGATTCTCAGTGCATATTTTGTAAGGCTCAAGGAATCAAACCACAAAATGAAAAAAAAGATATAAGAAAGTTTCATATAAAACCTCTTTTATTTGTCACTTATTCAACGTTTTTTAAGACAATTTGCCTCTATTCATATTGCTCTACATATGAGATGACATCAAAATAGATGAGGTGAAATTAATTCATTAAGTCATCTGACAGATGGAGGAGTATGAAAACATTTTTACATACTTATCTTGAATTTCTTGCTGAGTTACGTAATATTAGGCTTTGTTTGCGTGTCGACGGGCTCACACCATATAGTTCTATCGCCTCACCCTACTCATGTTGGCATATGATCGTTATTCCATATAATTTTACGTGAGATGTGTATGAATACCCCCTTTAAGTTTTTGATATTAATTATTCTAGGTCCTAATAACCTAAAAAAAAAATTAATGTATATTTGCAGCCTCTGATAAATGAACTAAAAATTTAGAAAACATGTGTCATCATTTATGACATTTCTATGAAACAAAACTTTCAAATAAAAATAGTTTTAATGTGGACAATAAATGATTTTCCAGTGTATAAGATGCTATTGGGAGGGAGCACTATGGCGAAGTTAGTATGATCATATTACATGTATTTCTCAAGGGCATTTATTCTTCAACATGATAGAACAAATTTTTGATTCAACTGTCATCGTATATATTTTACATGTTCTTCACCCTTTTAGGCGGAATGAAATGCCTTTAAGATGAAATAGAGTCGAGAAATCAGGGTTGCCATCAAGATTAATTGGGGATAAACTCTGTCAGATAATTAGTGCAATTACAAAGATTACTGGTTATCCTGAGCTATCTTGACAGCTTTTATTTATTTTAGTGTTAATATAATTGGACAAAATATATAATTTTTTAGGTTTTCCTTACTAGAGGACAAATTTAATTAAGTATAGTCAAGCTGATATGCACATAAAGAAAGTGGGTTATAATCTTTTCAACACTGGAATCCATAATGGATGTCAAGGGCCAAAACTAAAGATAACATGAATATTAGACTAGTCTTGAATGAGCTTTATAGAAGAAAAGTGTTAAAAATTTAAGAGACTGTTGTTGGTAAACTTATTAAGCATAAAAAAGTATTATCTTACTTTAGTTTAGCAAAGATGAATTTTTGAGTGACTACAATCATTAAAGTTTTTGTGTTGTTATGTTTATGATTTGAGCCATTCTGTTGACTTGGGTGTAGAAAAGATATTTGAAATGAAAATTCATGGCTGTCATATTTTTTTTGTAAATTCTGTTGCCAATTGCATTTAATAGTTGTATAGTAAATTATTTAATCAATTAATCAAAATCAGGGCAATCTTCAAGGATTTATGTGCAACTCATTTGAAATTTGATACATTACGATAATAAGAAGCAAATATTTCAATAATATTGTGCAAACTCGAAAGAATATTTCCACATAAATTTTTTTTATTTGGAGCATATGTTCATACATTTATCATACGAGACTATAGTTAGTAGTACAATGCAATATTGTTGGATGTATCTGTTTGAGAGGTAATAACATATACTAAAAAATTATTTACTTAATATTATTGGGATATTGTGTTAAAAAACTATTATATTATAAATTTTTCAATGAACTTAGGAGAACTGTGAAGAACAAAACCAGACTAGAAGACTCAATATGTGTGACATATTTGTTATACGAGACTAGTACTTTCTACTTCTTTGATTAACAACAAATCATCGATGATGCAGTAAGTGTGGAGCTTTCATGTTTGATTTTTATTTTTTGGTAGTTAGGTGAAGCGACAACGAGATACAAATCATTTTATCTCAATGATCAGGAGCTTCAAGTAATGATTTCTTATGTTCTTCTCAATTGCAATGAAGTTCAACGCTATCTTGAGTAAGACATTTTTTAGTAGTTTTTGTTCAACACTATAATGCAAATGTAATATTCACTTGATTCACCAATTTACCAATGTGTGGAGATGTTATTTTTAGTCTCATGGAATATAAATTATTACAACAATATAAGTAAGAAGATCGAAGAGGACTTCCCCCAATAGTTTAAAGAATACGTAAGCTATACTCACTCACACATTTAAATTTATTGGTATGTATATTGGTTCAAACAATAAAAACATGATTTTTTTTATGTACTTCATAGGTTTGTGATCAAAACAATAGAATTACAGATCTGAGCTTGATAGATCTTGCTTGGGGTCCTATACATATCGTGAAAATGAGGCTAATGTACGATGTGAATTACTACAAATTTCATACAAGGCTTTGGTTTGAAGGAAGAAATACCAATAACACTACTGTGTGTGTTAAAGGAAATACAAATTCCGATGGTGAAATTGACTATTATTAGATTATCAAAGAAGTAGTCCAATTGCAACATCCAGACTCTATTAAGAGAAGTGTATTCTTGTTCAATTGTGACCAATTCGATCTTGTTCCTAATTACAAATTAAGGGTATACACACCTTATAATATCATCAAAGTTATATTTAATATAAGATATGCTAAATTTGATTATTTCATTATAGCAAGACAAACATGTTCCGGGCCGTGGGAGATTTTAGAGTGACATAGAATTGGAGATTTTAGAGTGAGAGTGACAGACTAAACAGATTTTAGAGTGACAGACTAAACTCCCCAATTCAGTCCTATTGTTTGGGTGCTGAAGTGTAGATGTTAGCCCTTAGGCGAGGGGAACGTGGGAGCTCCGAAGTGAGAGCCGGTATCATCCCAGCATAGCCACAGATTCAGTAAACTTGTAGATTGTACTTTACATTTTGATCATAATTCAGTTTACTATTTTTTGCTTCTATTTTAAATAGTAGTAGTTTGTAGATTACAATTTATAGTTTTGTACTTCTATTTATTGTTTTTCTTTATTCTAATATCTTTTTTTATGTGCACTGATCAATTCATTTTTTCTTGATGCACATGGCTTCGGGTGGTGGTGATGATCTCTTTCCTTACATGGTTATCATCAACATGTTTATGATGAAGAAGAGTGGAGCTCCATGACACGGTGACATACAAATGAGCACTACTGTCTCAATGAATGCTAGTAAGGACACTTCTTTTGCACATCCCTTCACCTAGAAGCAGTCACCACTATACCACACACCTTCAACTCCCACCACACCACCACCACCACTTACATTTCTTGCAGGTCCATCTACTTCAACAGATCCAGATGCGTCAGGCAGCACATGGCATACATTCGACCTAAAGCCTGTTGAAAATACATAAGTAAGGTAGATTACAAGAAAATACAATTCATTTTCTTATTGGTTATAAAACTAACATTTTTTTTTGTTTTATCCATCTAAGCAAGCTGTTTATTCTATAAAGGGCATCATACAAATCAAGTTTGATGCTCCATACTTATCATGGACAAAGATCTCAATTGAAGTATAAGTTATGTGGTTCAGAGAGCTTGAGGTAAACCCTAAATAATGATTTTAAGTTGTATAAATTTATCCAACTAACTTATTGAAATTCATGATGCATAAGGAATTCTCTTGGAGGCCTGAACATCAAGCACATATTAGGAGGAACTTTGAGTTTAGAGGGCCCGCCGGTCTGAGCGATATGTTTGTTGACATATGCAAGATTGGTCAACTCCCTCTACGACTTGGAGAGGATTTCTACACCTAGTTGCGTAGAGCTTGGGACTCTCATGACTATGCCAATAGGACTCAACAGGTGAAAAGGAATCAGGCTTTAGAATGTGGGGATATGGACTCTTCTCTACACACTAGAGGGGCACTCCAACATATGGAGTACAAGAGGAGGATGATAAGAGTTATTTTGTGCATTAAATCTTAGCTGATGTTAATAATGTAATATCTTCTTTTTTATCTTAATAGACAATGCAATTTAGATGAGATCCCATTGCCATTGAACTGTGTGCTCGTACGCATCAGCACCCGTCGTACCACCAGTGAGTCGACACTAGATTTCAGAGAGCACGTGTAAGTGACTGAGTAATTTTTATATCATTGTTATTATTCTGAAATCTAATTTTGCCTCTAACTATCCTTTACATTTTTTTGTAGGACAAATACCACTGGCTGAAGGAGGCCCAGAGTCAACGCTTAGGAGTTCCTATACATAGTAGCGATTTTGATCAGTTGGACTATGACCTCTAGAGAAAAGTCGTTGGGGACAAGAAAAAAGGAAAAAAAATATGGCTTGGGTTCACAAGGACTTGTGTAGGACGCATGATGCTTCAGAGCTCTACATCTTTCCAGGACACTGATGAAGTTCGCAGGCAGGTCATTGCATTCACTAAAGATAAGAGCCCGATGTGCCGCTCGACTTGCTGAGGCAAAGGCGAGAATGAAGATGGAATTAGAGGAGGTGCGACGTGAGGCACGTAAGGGAGGGAAGTAGCCAAGGATGTGGATGATGAGGATGATGAGGAGATCGATGATAAGTTGTTGTGATGGTATTTCATTTACTATTTTGAGACATTTGTACTGATTTTCTATTATTTAATACATTATGATTATATTTATTTTCAATTTCTGGTTGTCTTTATATGATTCTCATTTAGTAGATGTGTGGATATGTAAATTAGATTGTGTGATATAAATTCAATGTGTTTTTGTGATGCCATTGCGGGTTTATAAATGCTAACGAACAAAGGAGGATCTTCCCGTCAGACTGTCTATATCTATAAATAAATGGTCGGTTGCCCGTCGGTTCTGAAAACTACGGACTCACCCGTCAGACTATCAATAGTTATAAACCAATGACCCTAGTTCGTCGAAATTATACCGACGGTCATATGCCCATTGGAAGACCGCCAAACCCACGAGCCCGTCAGAAGGTCGTTGTAACGTGGTTTCTCACAAAACATGGAAGCAATGACATCTTGCCCATCAAAATGGCGTCGCAAATCTTAATAATTGATGGCAAAATGCAAATTACCGATGGGAACAAGCCGTCGTAAATCACTTAAATTCCTGTAGTGAATGCAATATTGCTTATTTCTTTATATTACAGTGATCTCCTCTGCTTGTGTCTATGGCATATGTGACACATTCTCATCTCTTCTTCAATTGCCTACCAGCTAAAGCAGTCTCATGTGAACTTCACTTGCTATATTAAACAATGAAAATAAATAAATAAAAAAATAAAACAGACAAAACGAAAAAAACAATTCGTTTTGTCTTTTTTATTTGATAAGCTTCTTTTCTGCCCCACCATTAATTTGAAATATGAGAAATTGAGGAAACATTAAAATATAGATTTTTATAAGCCTATTTTATTATTCTGAACTTGAAAGCTATCCCTTTGCAATTATATTTTTTTTACGTTATATACTGTTATCTACAATTATATATATATATTATCTATTTTTCATCAAAACATGAAAAATAAGAAAGGATTTTGTCATGGTAGGACTTGACAAATCTAAAGGTTTTGCAGTACTGAAATAGAGAAGGATAAAATACTTGCAAAAAGTTCAAACCTAAATAGTACTAAATTGCGTCTAAAAGATGTTGTATGCTGATTTATCTGTTGGTTATGTTAGAATTAGATAAGAAAGAAGAGGAAAAAAAAATTCAATATTTGACTCAAAAACCTCGTGTCCTGAGGCATGAGGCAGATGTATATTAGATCTTTATGCTGGCAGAGGTTTATAGTAAGGTTTGTTAAGTTTTTGGTAAGTTTCATACAGGTTCTTTTAACTTGACAACTTATAAAATTTTCATTTTGGAAATCGAGTAAGTGTCAAATGTTTTTTCATTAATGATTTCAGTTAGGTTCTTTACTTCTTTTTCTTCCATATTTGTAATTACTATGGTTGTGTGTGTGGTTAGGAGGAACTAAGGAGAATAAATAAATAAATTTTTACATCATAATTAATGCGTACAAGAGAATTCAAAGTGGTGGAGTCTTTAATTAATGCCTTAGTGTTGCATGAGAACTCATCACCCCCCTCTGATAATATAAATGATGGATAGAAATATCAGAATATTTTGACGTGAAAAACCTGAAAAAGTGAAAAAATTCAGGTCTTAGCCAGTTGAAAAAATCTACTATAAATTAGTGATTACAGATATAACTCTTTATTCCACAAGCAAGAAAGAGTTACACAATTTCTCGAGCTACAACGTCAGTGTGCGGATGAACTGGTAGCGACGCCGTAGACATGATCACAATAGATAGAAATAGCCATAGGCTTCAATGCTCCGTCTTTGAGGTCGTTGCGCCGTCCATAATGAAGTGAATCGTCGTATGTTGTTTCGTGCAGTGCTCCGTCGCGAGGAGTGAGCAATGACCAATGGTGAACGACAACAGTACAATAGATAGAAATAGCCATAGGCTTCAATGCTCCTACTTTGAGGTCGGTGCGCCGTCCATAATGAAGTGAATCGTCGTAGGTTGTTTTGTACAGTGCTCCGTCGCGAGGAGTGAGCAGTGACCAATGGTGATCGACAACAGCCGACGAGTGGTGGGCGCCGGCGAGTGGTGGTCGAGGGTAGTTGGCTGCTGTTGGAGGCGGTGGTGGCCAGAGATGTCAAAGGCTACCATGACTGGAGTTGACCGGAGGCGACGACGTCCCGAGTTGTCCAGAGGTGACGACGACCCGAATTGTCAGAGATGTCAAAGGCTACCATGACTGGAGTTGACCAAAGGCGACGACGTCCCGAGCTGTCCAGAGGTGATGACGACCCGTATTGTCTGGAAGTGGTGACGGCAGCCGGACTTGGTTGGAGTGCGGCAGTGCCCAGAGTTGGCTAGAGGCAACAACAACTCGAGTTAGCTGAAGGGCAGCAGCTGTCGGCCTTGGCCAAAGGGCGACAACGACTGGAATTGGCTGGAGGGTGGAAGATCGTTGGTGCAAAAGTGATGTGGGATTTAAGTTCCTTCTCCAAGCTTCAAGCTTCAGGTCCCCTCTCAAGAGGGAGCTAGGGATCTATTTATATAGTCCCGATTATAATCAATGAAGGAATCTGAACCACTTTAATCGGACGGCCCGGAGAGATTCCCTAGATCGGACGACATTTGATTGTCTAAACGATGACAAAATTGTGCAATTTTTGGCTCGTTGGATTTGTCTTGTCTAGACGCTCGATTCAACTATGAGCTCACCATGTTCAACGTTCGGTTGCCCTTCCAAACATGCCCAAAAACATTCAAAAGCAATTTAATGGCCCGATCCGGGCTTGATTTAACTTGGATTTGATCTATTTTGGTACCATTGGGTCCATCTCGTCGTGTCAGTCAGTTTGACTCTAAGTTTGCTGAAATCATAATTCTAGATCACTTTTAATTGAAGTTTGAATGATTCTTACTCAAAAGATCGATCTGAGATCTGCATCATACTTCAAGATTCATGCAGGATGATGGATTTGTTGATGATGTATCAACAATCATGTTTGTTATTCATAAGAAATCAATTTACCCTGTAAATTAGAACCTATTCTTAAGAATTGAACATGCTTATCCAAGCTCCAATGATACTAATCGACAACAATTTGAACGCATTCATAAACATGGCTTTTCATGTCTATAAGTTTTTTGTTGGGGCAGGGTTAGTGTTCGTATCCAGCATTTTGAGATGTTTAGTTTATGTATTGGAGCACTATTTCTATATATCATTCACAAGCTGTTATTAAATTTTGGTTCTTCTATCATTTTTATTTGAGAAGAAAATCAGTGAAGTTTCTTGCAGAGGCAGAAACGCTCAGCTAAAAATTTCTTCGTATTTTTGTTTCTCTAGAATTGGGTAGAGAATTGCCAATGAAAAAATCATTTATTTACATTTCTTAGATAAATCCAGTTACTTATTAACTGTATTGAAATTAAACAAATACTAAAAGAACTATGGAGTATATTTGCATTACCCACAATTCCTTCAAACTAAATATATCTTTTCATGGAGGCATTGGATGAAAACTAGTTAGGGATTCTCTGAACTATTTAATTTATGCAAAATTCTAAGCTATTTAGACGAGAGATATAAAATAAAATTATTATAGAAATGATAAACAAAATGAGTGTACTAAATCAAGATGCATGCTGGTTAGATAGGCAACATTGGCACCTTAAAGCTAAAACCAAGCCCATGTCTTGCAGAGCAATCTCAAACATGATAAAACCATTAAAGATACTCCACATAAAATTTGATAGGTATAATGGGGTAGTTTTATTTCGAAATGTTGTCATAAAATTTTCAGGTTTGTTTAATGGCATTTCATGTATTATAAGGGTGAAGGTGAATTCCTCTCCATTATTAGAAAAAAAGATAACATCATGCTCAGGATTATAAATCATGATAGATATAAACTTTATCTGTTTAGCATCTCTAAGGGCTCATGCTTCAGAGCAAAGAAATGTTTCATTTCCCATTAAGAAAGAATGATTTAAGATTGTGATTAGTAAAATTAAATATCACCTTTACCCACTCCAAACAAATAGAATTTTTTATCCTCATATTTAATGGAACACAAACTTTTTAGGATATGAGAGTGTTTAATGTGGCAATATTTCGTAAGTAATTTATCTCAACGGGATTAATTAAATTTAAACGGCTATCAACTTTCATAGCTATAGCTTTAAAAATATTATGGAGAGATTTAACACCAAGAATCCATTCTTTAATCATGTACAATGGTTTATCCAAACTAGTCCATAAAATTCTGCTCTCTTGATTTCCTTGACCTTTTATTGAACGTTGTCAAATAGTATACAATTTTATAAAGAACTCTAGTAAGATGTTAAAATGCTTGAATAAGATAGAGAAGGATAATTCCTAAAATATGTTTAATTGTAGTTAGCTCATCTCATGAGATAAAAATTTCTTACCCCAACTAATATTTTATTTTGAATTGTAAGGAATATATATTGAAATAGGGCAAATCTTTTATAGTCTTTAAGAAAATGGACTCCATGATTTATTATAGGCAAATTTTCATTAGTAAAATTGATAACATTGGTGATAGTGTCAATCTTATTTTATGGGATGCATGAAATATGTTATAAAAGTAGGCTTTTCAGTCTTCATTGACTGGTCGGATATAGATTCTATGTTCATAAGAATTTTCATAACAGTTTTCAGAAAGGCTTGATCACCTTTAGTGAACAAAATAAAGACATCTATATTTTGCAAATATAATTGAATCTAATGGTTGGACTTTTCTTAAAATATTTTATTTAATTTTCTAAATTGTTATTCAAACATGTTGATAAAAAGGAGGGTATGTGGTCTCTCTAACAAATTACCCAATTATAGATAAAGAAATCATGAGAAGTTTTGTTAATGATGATGAAAAATCACAAATTCACTACTAGAGATTTAGTTCTCTTAATAACAATGTAGCGAAAACAAAAAATTTCTAAAATAACAAAAGAAAAGGTCGTAGTAAACGACAATATGTTTTGGCTATGTTTAGCTTGATAGCTGC